TTTAAAGTTATAATCTTTATTTTATAAAAAGAGAAAGACATTCAATCTTATTTATGAAATGGCTACAAATTGTGTGTGAGGTCAATGCAATTTTGTCGACTTTTTAAACCTAGTAAGGAGGTTATATTAATCTGTATTTTCCGCAGGGCTGCTATATCATAATTAGGATATTTCATACAGGGGAGGGGGAAAAAGACATGATTCAGTATTTTATCACTTTTCTTTTGAGAGAATATATTTTCAAAATGTCAACGATTCTCTTAATGGTCACTCATCCTCAAATTCACTATAGTAACTGGCATTTGAAAAGAAGTGAAGAGTACAAAAGAACTTATTTAAGTAACATAAACATTTCCTTCTTCATTAGACTCACGCAAATGGGAATCGAGGGAAGAAGTGGTCAAGCGGATGATCTCTGTGGAATGGAAGGCTGAGACACAAGTGCTTTATGACCTCTTTAAAATGTCATATTGGCACTTTATGCCTTTCTAAAAAATAATTTAAGGAATGATAGGAGGTAGATTTACGGTTCAATATTAACACATGCTTTTAGAATTTTGTGTAGCATGTGCTAGATAATTTGCACAGGTCTGGGGGAATTTGATCTGCTTAGGATGGCTCAAAATCATCACTTGATAAATAATAATTGAATTTAGTGCACAAAATAGGTTTAGGGATACCAACGAAAATGTCTAAATGTGTCTTGCCTTATACATATCAAACGTATTGTTTGCAGTAATTATATACATTATCAGTTATCAACATTTTATATAATAAAAGCTATTTCTCTTCCAGCTTATAAAGACTTTAACCTCAAAATTATATATATTTTAATTTTTTCCTATACTCAAGATATTATATATTTATTGCTATTCTCAAAATATGTTTTCCTATAGTCAAGATATTGTGTTTTTTTATGAAGCAAATATTTGTTGTGTATCTGGCTTATGCCTTGCATAATCCTAGACATTGGGGATACAGTTTTGAACAAAACAGATATGACCCCTGACATAATGAAATATGGAAGCAGTTAAGATGACCTATAGAGGGTTTATGGAAAAAGATAACTTTCATTCTTACTTTGATCTGGTCAGAATATAATTGAAAATTAGGAACTACAACAGAGGTTAACTGATCAATGTTGATGGCAAATTTTGTGGTACTTTTTTGTTTCTGTTCAATTTAACAAATATTCAGTGAGTAGCTATTGCTCAAGGTTTAATGCTATAGATACACTGAAAAATATCCTTTGCCTTCATGCAGTCTAGTCTAATTATATTTCAGTTACAAATTGTGAGCTATATATAAGTGAAATTCATCATATTGGTGAGCAGTGTGGATTAAAATTTACCTACTCTAAATATGAAGATTCATGCTATGTTTTACGTGACTTGCATGCATTAATCTCATAGGAAATGTTTGAGACAAATGTATATAAGTGTTAAGTGGAATTTTTCAGTAATTAAATGATACTTTTTTCATAGAATATCATATTTGGTATATCTTACTATATTTAACTGTGACATTCATTAAGAGGACACAGTTCTGTTTTGTGAACTTGCTGGAAGTATTTTTGTTTATATAACATGATAAGAAAACTCATTACAGCTTTTTTCTACCAATTGTTTCAATGACCAAATATCTATTTGTGTCTCTCTTGATTTACTCAGATATATTTCTTACAATAGAAGTGAAATACAACGGAATGAGAATACCTTCAGCTCATTTGTTTATTCAACATTTTTTGAGTCTTTTCACTTTCGAAGCTTTCTGCACCTTTGTTTGAATATCAACTAAACTTCTGCCTTATTTGCCTATGTTCCTTCGAATTAGCAATTGTCTTTTTTTATCATGGTTTTAAAATTTGTTTGTTAATCACTTTATTTCATGCTAATGGGAGAGAAACTCTTGATTTAATACAGATGATACCTTCTATAAATCTTTGAAAAAACTTATGGAAAACCCTGCTGTTCTTGTGTGTTAGCAAAGATAGATCTCAAGTACAGTCACACATTTTTCTGGTATCTTCTTGGTATCCTTTTCTGGTATCATCTTACCAATGGTATTTTAAAAATTGTATAAAGTTATAAAATCAACATAAACTATCCAAATAAATAAGTGCAATTTTAACATTATTTCCTGACAAATATTTAGGTAATCAAGTTGATCAAAACAAAATGTAAGATAAATATACATTAAAATGCTCCTACAAATGTCAATAAAATACACATTTTTCTAATTGTGAGCTTTGTGACATTCAACAACAGAATCGGATAAGCCAAACATAAAGGAAAAAAGATTATTTTAAGGGAAAATGCACATACAAATGATTAAACAATCCATCATTAAATACTAAATATTTCTAAATCCTCCTGACAGAATTGCTAGCAGATGCTGGGTTTTAAATTTAGGATGATATAAGCATCATCCTGATTGATCATGATTATAGTCTTAATTTGAAATTTTAACATGTAAGATTATACTTAAATTATTATTGCCTCCTTTCTAAATCCTTTTCCAAGTATAAACCAAGCTCTTGAATGGAAAATTTATAAGAAACAAATGTCAACATTGGTAGCAGATTAATATTGTTGAAGAAAGGGATTTGATGAGATTATTATTCATATAATATAATCTGATTCTGTTTGAATATTTTTAGATAGGAAGTTGGAGATGGATATTATGTTCCTTCAGTATGAACTATTTGAATTAAAATGTGACTCCTGAAAAATACAGACTCTTCCCACAATGTTTGAGCTATTACTTTTTCTCTTCACTTTTTTTTGAGTGGAATTTTTCCATATGTAGCCTGAAAAATAACCTTCATTTCCTGGATAGCAGTCAAAATATCCTTTCTCTGTCACATAATGAAGAATTATTCCTGGAGCAGAAGAGCATCATCTAACGTCTCATGAGAAACCTATTAGTATAAGATCATCACATTTCTTAGATAGAAACTTAATGCCAAGCATTAATGCAAAAATCCATTTTCACAGCCTTTCTTACATCTTACATGTCCCTTCTGCTTTGATGAAGTTTCTATGGTTAGGTCATGAAAAATAATGAACTGGGTTTTAGAAGTAGAAAGATGATCTAATTTCTTTTTGTTTCTTCTTTTTTCCTCACCTGAGCAAAGGGAACCAATAGTGAAAGGATTGATGACGGGAATGATAGTGATTTTAAATGTGGAAAGCCCTGCAATGTCAAAATTAATCTGGAGGATTTTATACATGCAACACAGTAAGGCACTTTAAATGTTCCCACCAATCTGGCTTCCACAAATACCCCTCTAATGATGTGACATGTTTCTTTATTGTTTTTCTCCCTCTTTGGTTTAAGGAGATTTAAATGTTTAGCTTGGGGCACTGCACAGGAGAGGTGATATTCTCAAGGCCACCATGGGACACAGAGTTGATTGCCTTCTCAATACCCATGTCCCTCTTCTTCCTCACTAATAATAATAATAATAATAATAATAATGATAATAATAACTTCCTGCTTGTTTCAGTTCTGTTTGAATAGAAATATATCCACCTAAATACTTGCCTACTCAGCCTCTCTTGCAGTAGGAATAGCCATGGGATATTCTTCTGGCCAATGAAATGCAGACATTATCTTTGGGGAGAATATCTATTCCCAAATAGAAAGTTGGAGCCTCACTAGGAGGAAATCTCTTGCTTGCTCTTCTGTCTTCATCCTTCCTGAAGCTCAGAACGCAGACCTTTACATGCAGAGGCTATCTTGTGCCTGGAATAAATAAAGCCAAACACTGAGGATGGCAGAGCGGGTCATGGATACTGCAGAGCATCTAAACTAATATTCGTAACTCCTTTCTGTAGGTTTCTTATTATGTGAGAAAAATCATCCCCTATCTATATAAACTACTGTTAATTAGATTTTTGTTACTTGTAACTGAATGCTTTGTGGACTGATAAATTATTTATTTTTAAGTCGTTTTTGTATTATACAAGAAGAGAAAATGTGGTAGATATTGGGCAGGAAGATGCTCTGTGTATTTCTAACCAATTTCTTCAAATAATAAGAATAGTATTTTCAGAGGAAATATCTACTTTTTATTTGCTAGGTAACTTAAAGCTCTCTGGAAGAGAATCTATGTGTATGATCGGCCATTGTTCAGGGGAGACAAGTTAGCTCATCAAGGCCAGTACTGCAAAATAGAGAATCAAGTGAAAATGACTTTTAGTGCTTTTTGTCCCATGGTCATGCACTTGTCCTAGTGAGCCACAGGAGTTTTTATTATATCCTGCTTTATGTTATTCTTAAAAAATAATTGACAATTTTATTGATTCCATTTGAGATGACAAAGGACATTTTTATGATTGAAGCATTAATTTTAGCTTCCATTTTGTGCTAATTACTTACCTACTGGCTCCAGTCAATGTCACATTGACTGAAACAATTTTTCTTAAGAGAAATTTGACAACTTGTACCAAAAGTCTTAAAAATATTCATTCTACCACCTTGGAATATCATTTGTGGAAATTTATTTTAAAGAACTAATTGGAGATGAGCAAGTTAAATGACCAAAAGGGGACTGCTTAAATAAATACTACTTAACTTATCCTCTGGCATATCATATTCTCATCAAAAATAATGTAGAATAATATTTGGTTATCGTTAAATTCTCACCATATAATATTAAACAAAATAAGTCGGCTATGAAATACTATATGCAATATTATTTCAATTTCAGGGGGTAAAACAGAAAAGAGATTGATAACATCTATAACAAAATGTAAAGAGTGTTTCTTTCCAAGTATTTGGATTATTAGTCGTTGTTTTTCTTCGTATCTTTCAATCTTTTCAAATTTCTGCTATTTATATGACTCAGGAAAAGATGTTATAAAAGATATCTTGGCTGTTAACAAAGTAACTCTAATTTAACATTTAAAATAATAAAGAGTATATCATTTTCATTGAATACCTTTTCCTCATCAAGAAGTCTGATGACAAATCTTTGTTTGTTTGTTTTCATACAGAAATCCTAAATGGTGGAGTCTATGTAGACCAGAACAAATTCCTTTGTTACACAGACACAATTCATTGGCAAGACATTGTTCGGAATCCATGGCCTTCCAACTTGACTCTGGTGTCAACAAATGGTAGCTCAGGATGTGAGTAGCATTATCCTTTTTAATTTCTCAAAATATTCTTCTACTTCTTTTGAAAATGAATGACTTATGTTTATCATGCCACTAGTAATATTTTTGAACTTTGACTGAATCGGTTGAAATGTTTAGTTCTATATGACAGAACAAATGGCTAACCTGTCTTTTACTTCTAATTATCTCTCTTTTTGGAATGACTTCCCCGTTACAATTCTCATTTTCCCTTTTGCTAAATCCAAATTGCTTTACCATAACTCCAATGTGCAAATGTGCACCTCGTTTTCCATAAATTTAAGACTGGTGTCTAACTACTGCTTCAACTCTTTGTGACCTATACAGCACTGAGAAAAAGATAGTACAACAAAAATGAGCCATCCTAATCACTGTAATTTTTGTATAAAAAATAAAAACTAGTGAACATTTTAGAATTCCTAAGTGTTCATTAGCCCCTAAAACCTTCGTGGAAATGCTTTATGACAATTCTAAACACTGTAGAATGGAGACATATAGATTTCATATAGAAGAAATATATGTTACATTCTGATTTTAGTTGTTAGCCTAATAAACTACCCAATTTCCCATTCTTAAAGTGTATATTGTTTCTACCATAGAGGATTTATCAGAATCAAAGTGTTTAATATGATTAATGATAAGCAAGTATTATGTGAACTATCATTAAAACCTTTGAAAATTATTCTGTCTGGAATCTGTTTCATTTTCATAAAGTAAGCTATGTTGTCCCCACATTTATTATTACTGACATTTGTATGAGAACAGAATATTTATCGTGTTATCCTGGGTTTTATATTTCTCATCTATTATTATATATTTCCCAGCTGAAATCATAACTATCTCCACACAGTTCAATAATTATTTGCTATAGTACTGATTGTGTTATGATGCTTCTGTAGGAAATCAAACTCCAAGGGACAATTATTAAATTTCATGATAGTCCTAATAACATAATGGGGAAATATGAATATATTTGATCCAAACTGACAGCTGTGTTTTTAATAAATGGCTAAAACTTTTTTTAAAAGTAGAGTAACATAATTTTCTTGTCACCTTTGAGCAGAAATTTGTGTGAGATCTCGTCTTTACAGTGTTCAAATCGCCTACCTTGTAAAATTACATGTGAATAAAAAAATTGAATCTGTTCACACTAACAAGGCAAATGACATGCTTCAGAAATGGCGACCATTTTTAGTCTGCCCGTTCTATGGTACATTTTATACTTATGGGGGGGAGCATAAAGAACAGAGATGAGGAAAGGCCTCTGACTCTCAGCTCTCAGAGTGACTAGCCTGCAATGCGTGAACAAGATGAAGCAAGACGAGAAGTCAGAAGGGAGTGTGTCCCCCAGCCTGACAGGATGTGGAGCGGGAAGTGTGTGAGGGATTTGCTGCACTTTCACAGATGGAATCTCTTTGTATGTTTTTTAAGGCAAATCTAGATGGCTGTACCTATAGTGAAGCAACTGTTGCTGCATTTGTTTTTGCATGCAAATAATTGCAGGTGCAAAAATTATAAATGCAGAGTAGAATCACAAGCAATAGTCCTTTGCAAATTAAGCACCAATTGCTTGTCAAAGTTGTACTGTTTCCTTAGTAGATCTATTTGCTGTTATGTTATATATACAGCATGACGCTATAGCTGATAATGAATTAGCTGGTCTTTGAAGATCCATTTCCTAGGGTTTATCCTGAGTCAGTTTCTTTGTCTACCTTCTCCCCAGGGAGGCCCAGGCATTCTCATGGTTTTAAATGCAACGTCTACACTGGCGACTCCCAGAACTATACACCACCAACCAATCAGTCACCCAAGTTAAAAATTAGAGGGTCATCATTGACAACTTCTCCTTGGTTCTTGGCATTTAATTAACCAGTAAATCATGTGAACTTGCCTATTTCTTGATTTTAGATATTTCTTATTACCATTGCTCTAGTTCAAGGCTTCTTCTGTTGCCTGATTTACTGAAATAATTTCTGAATTCTTAGTATTTTTTGAGGCCATGGACCCTGTGGCAGTCTGGTGAAACCAATAGACTCCCTTCCCATAATATTTTAAATGAATAAATAGGCACAAAATAAAATTTTACATCAGAAATGCATAAAAATTAATGTTTGTAAAATAAATTAGAATACATTATAAGGAAAATAAATTATATTGAAATATATTCATCAATGTACTTAAAAAAGAGATACATCATATAGTAATATGCTTCTTTATTAGCACATTACATAAAAAATTCTAACAGTAGGACTAATATGTAATGTAGTTTTGGAGCAATGATTGTCATAAATATTATTTGAAAAAGCAGTCACATTAACTAATGGTGCTGGGAAAACCGGATATCTATATGTACAAGAGTGAACTTAGACTTTTATCTTACACTATATTTAAAAATTAAGACAAATGGATTAAAGATCTAAACATAAGACCCCAAACTATCAAACTCCTAGAAAAAAAACATAGACGAAAATCTTCATGACATTGTTCTTGGCAATGATTCTTAGATATGACATCAAAAGCAAAAACAAACAAATGGGGCTATATCAAGCTTAAAAACTTCTGTGCAACAAAGGACACAATCAACAGGGTGAAAGGCAACCTAAAGAATGGGAGAAAATATTTATAAATCATGTATCTGATAAAGGGTTAATATGCAGAATATGTAAAGAACTCCTACAACTTAACAACAAAAAAACAAGAAACCCAATTCAGAAATGGGCAAAAGACTTGAGTAGACATTTCTCCAAAGATGATGTACAAATGGCCAACAAGCATATGCAAAGATGCTCTCAACATCACTAATCTTTAGAGAAATGCAAATCAAAACCATAGAGATATCACCTCACACCCATTAGAATGACTACTGTCAAAATAATAGAAAATAGCAGTTGTTGGTGAGGATGTAGAGAACTTGAAACCCTTGTACACTATTGATGGGATTGTAAAATGGTGTAACTGCTATGCAAAATAGTATGGTAGTTCCTCAAAAATTAAAGATAGAATTACCATATCATCCAGCAATTCCACTTCTTGGTATATCTCCAAAAGAGTTGAAGGCAGTCTTAAAGGGATATTTGCACACCTATATTCATAGCAGTATTATTCACAATAGCCAAGAGGTGGAAGCACCCCAAATGTTCATTGAATGGATAAACAAAGTGTGGTATATACATGCAATGGAAAATTATTCAGCTTTAAAAAGGGAGGAAATTATGACATGTTACAATATGCTTGAACTTTGAGGACGCTATACTAAGTGAAATAAGCCAGACACAAAAAGATAAATACTGTAGAGTCCATTTATGTGAGGTATCTAAAGTAGTTAAATTCATAGAAACAGAAAGAAGAATGGTAGTTACTAGGGCCTGGGAAGATTGGGAAGTGGTGAATTGCTCTTTAATGATTTATAGCATTTCAGTTGTCCAAAACGAAAAATTTCTGTAGCTCTGTTATACAACAGTGTAGATATGCTTAACACTACTGAGCTGCACACTTAAAAAAAAAGTTAGTAAATATTATGTTATGTATTTTTTACCATGATTAAGAATGAAGGAATAAACAAATAAGTAATATTTTATGATACCCACAACTGGAATGTAACATGAATAATCTGTGGTTTGTATTGGTCACAGTGTGGCTGGTACTGCCAATATTACTGTGGTTTGGTCCTTATATTTGTAACTGATGAAATCATGTATTTAATGAGAGAAAAATGTGAATAATAATGTTTTGTTTTCCCATTCAAGTTCAAGGAACTCCTAAATTCTATCTATAGCCCCTTAGGGATCCAAATTTCCTGATTAAGAGTCCCTGTGTTTAACTTCTTTCCTTGCCTCCAGTCCTGACAAATCCACCTGACAAAACACCAGCAAGAGATCTATTTAATGGAAATGTAACCATGACCCTGTCTACAAACCCTGTCACTACAACTGACTAACGTAGGGTCAATTCCAAACAAAACCAAAGGCCGGGAGTTTTCAGAAGATTCCTGCTTATTTCTCCCCTCTGTGGAATGAGTTCTTACAACTTCTTTGTCTGTACTGTCCTTCCTTTTCTGTTTGCCAGACTAAATTTTATTTATACTTTAAGACACTCATCAGTTGTTATCTCTTCTAAGAAGTAGTCTCTTCTGAAGGCTAGATTTTTCCATATGACCCCATAATGATGAGTGCTGAAACCCAGCATTCTGTGTCTCTCTAAAACGAAAACTCCTTGTGGACAAGGCTCGATTCATCATCTGTCCTCTGTTCTAGCACGTAATTGATGGATAACAGATATATACTGAATAAATAGATAAATAAGTGAAATAGATCAGTTCATGAATAGGAAAATCAGATTGAATACAATTACTTTATTCTATTCATAATTTGTATACAAAAGAACGATGTGAAGTAAAAGTTATAATCCACACACAGGTAGCTTACCCATTAAGTCTTTTTCAGGTAGAGATGGCAACATATATATACATATATGCTTAATTCATTTTATACTTATATAATTGTAAGTTACACTATTTCTATTATATTGGCTTTATGTTCTATTTATATTTCATTACAATAATTATAAGATAAATATGTATGCTTACTTGTCCTTTAGTGTTTAAAGAGACACTAATTTGTGTAATACTTGTAATTATCTATAAATTCCACAAGTTTGACATAAAAGTTTAAGAACATTTGATTTTTAAGTGATATTTTGCAAAGCATTTCTTAATGTATGTTTTTGGGTTTTGGTACAATACTAATTCTTGATGGAAAAAAGCAAAATCTTTCCAAGAGCAACTTGGGTTTTTAGTGACATAACCTGTGGGCTATAAGTGAAACAATGAAGAAAAGGTTTGAAGTGTCTAGAAAAGTAATTTAAAAATGATACCACTCCTTTAAATATATGTGATTTGACAATAATTGTAACCAAATTGCATTTTCCAAAATACTTGAGATATCTCAATCTAAACTTTCGCTGGATGAGGGAGAGATCAGTGTCTTTTTTTCTCA